AAGTTTTTTTTAAAATAAATATTTAAATATTCTTTTTCCGTAGGAATTAAAATTTTTCAAAACATTCGAATTTTTTTAAATTCAATAAAGATTTAAAGATGACCGAGTGATAAAATCATTGTTTTATATTATAAGAATATTATATTACAGTAACTTTTTCAAAATTATTTTCATCATTTCAAATCAATTATTATTTTCTACAATTTTTAATTATTTTTTATGAAATTAATTAAATTCCTTACAAAAAAAATTTATTATTTATAAAAATAATTGAATTATTGCGAAGGAATTTATAAAAAATTTGTAAATAATTGAATTCCTGAAAAATTTTTTTAATGATCCACAAGTTTTGAACGTACAAATGAACGAAACACTTTTTATTAAAAATGTTTTTATAATTTATTGTTTGCAATAAAAATTAAAAACTGAAGTTTTACACTTAGAAACTTGATAATTCATTTATTTTATATGGACAAAAAATTATTGTAATAAATATTTAAATTAAAGAAGAAAATAAATAAATTTCGTTCATTTGAACGTTCAGAACTTTAGGATCATTTTTTTTATGAAAATAATTAAATGTTTGCGTACTATTTTTGAGAATTTGAAATTGATTTGAAAATAATTGAACTTTGGGGAAGAGTTTTGTTATTTATAAAGATAATTTTTATTTTGATGAGAATTTTTTTTTAAATTTGAAAGATAATTGAATTTCTGTAATTATTTGTAATTTTCCAGAAAATTGGATTTTTTTTTAGTGTTTTGAACAAAAATTTAAATTACAAATTTTTAAATTCTATTATTTTTGAAAATTTGCGTATTTTACCTTAAAAAGTTAGCCGTGCTCTTTAGTTGACGCCTATCGAACAATTATTTTTGTCTTCGATTGGAGTTTTGGCTGAATTTTTCTGTTTTCTAATTTAAATTTCTTTTTAACGTAAATAAAAATTTATTAAATAAGAAATTTATTTATTTTTGTTGTGTAAGACAAATATTGAACTAAGTGAGAGTGTGGGAATGAATCTTGGCAATGTACCACATAGAGAGAGAGAGAGAGAGAGAGAGACAGGTGGCAATTGCTTTGACGGTCCAAAATTTGCTCCCAGTTGTATTCCTCCTCCAATCAGAGCTTGTTCTATTAAATTCACAGTCGCAATTTGCCTTCCTCAGAAAGGAAAATATTTACCTTGTTTAATGACACTACTAATCCCCATGTATACGTATACATTAATCAATAAATTCTCTTTTTACTCTCTTTCACTTTCGCTTATTGGCAAATATTTCGAGAAAGCAAAATTATGTTTACTTTTCTCCAAACACTTTTGGATTTTTTTCTAATTTGCTGAAAATATTTCATTCCTATTATTATGATTTACTATTATTATTTTAATTATTATATTAATAATAATAATAATAAATAAAAATATAATGATTTAAATTTCTAATAACAATAAATTAAAAATATAAATTTATTTTTAGTTTGTTATTATTATTTTAATGTTCTGTCTTTGTATTTTTTCGTAAGCTCAGTTAGCACCTGAAAAAACGTAAATTATACGAAAAATAATAAAAATATAATAAATTTCACTTTTATTGAGACTTTTAAGGGAGGCAATGCCTCAATTCTTAACAACATTAAGGGGAATGATGAGAAAGAAATATGAGAAAAATTCGTCATACGTAATAAATTTGACTCTCACTTTCCGTGTAAATGGGATTCATGTCGTGCGCGGGAGCACAAAACGCCATCCATTAAATATAATATCGTGTGTGCCAAGATGCTACATATCATATATATATATAGAAAATAAGAGAGAGAAAGAAATATATATATAGAGGGTGAGAGAAAGAGAGAAAAATATCTATACATAGGAGAAAGAGAGAGAAAAATATATTTTTCCACACAACATAATATATTATTTAAAACAATTTTCATTCCATAAAGATTTGAGATTAGAGCGAGAAAAAAAACAATTTGCTACGCATTATTTTTTTCGTCTTTAAAAAACATTAATTTTTATTATTTATTCGCTGATAAAAATAATGTCATATATAAATTAAAGTTTTATATTCTTATCGTGTCGTAAATGTTGTGTAAGGCCTACTTTCGATTTTTTTTCCCTTTTAAAAAATTTATATTATGTGTATAATATGGATATAATAGAATGTACATAAATATATTTGTATATGAAACAACAGCGGCAGCCAAGCTGTCTTCATTAATTTTTTTTTTCTCCTCTATTTTCAACGGAAAGCATTAGTATGTTAATTGACATTTAATTAAAACAGTAATTAGTCTCTACGCGAAAAAACGTTGCGTTACGTATTTTCATTCAACCTTTTTGCCTTTCCTTTCGATTATACAACAATTTGAATACAAAATGTCGTTCAACTTTTTTTTTTTATTTTTTATTCTTTATTTTTCTTCACCTTATAAATATTTTATAAACTCCTCGTGTGTTTATTTATAAAATATTATTTATAAGTTTTGTTTTATTTATTTTTTATTATTCAAATATTTATTTAGTTTATTTATATATTTATCTAATTTTGTTAATTAAATAAAGTAAAAATAAATTAAGTGAACTAAATTTATTTTTCTTTTTTTAAAACCGAAAAATTTGGAACATAAAAATTTCATCATAATAGTAAAATTTTCTGTTATTTCAATTAATACTTTCGCTTTTCCAGAGAAATTTATTGTTCCAAATAAAAAATTTTATATTGAAATTCACTTTTAATAATTTTTTGATGATTCAGTAATAATAATTTATTTAATTAAAAATACTTGAAAAATGGATAATAAAGAATAGAAATTAAATGTTTCGTTTAAAAAATAAAGAGAAGAGAGGGTGAAAAACAAGAGATTTATTTCTATTGCATCGAAAGGAATGTATTTCATATCACGTGCGGCAGTTTAAAAAAATATTAACAATGAATCTTTTGTTTTTTTTTTTAGTGAAAATAACCCCTAATAAATAGAATTAAAGTTGGTCTTACAAATTTGCAATAAGAGGTGTCGTGTAAAACTGATTCGTATCTTTTATTTTTGTAATGTACCTGTCAAACGATAAACCAACATTAAACGAGACTCGTGCATGAAACAGGTCACAATATATCTGCATTATGATCGGTGAGATAAGTTCATTTTTTTTTCTTTTTTGATCAATTTACCAACTTTCTTGCGAACATAATAAACCAGGCGCATTATTAAATTTTTTCCCCCCCTTCAACTTTAATAATAACAAAATTGAAAAATAAAGTCCTTAAGTGACTTGGAAATTCCTTCTTCTCTTTTGTCATTATTTACTACGAAGAAATATATTAATTATTAATTATATATTATTTATTATTAATTATTTATTATTTATTATTAATTATTATAATTTATAAATCAAATGATTATAAATAATAAAATAATTTTCAAATAATAACCAATAAAAAATTTGTTAAGTAATTAAATAAATTATTACTTATAAAATAAATTAATTAAAAAAATGTTTACTGCCTTAAAATTCACGAAAAAAATTGTAAGAATAAAAAAATACTAAATAGAAAAATGCCCCTGCGATATTTTGTTGAAAAAATTTTTTTATTTATCCCAAGTGCATTTTCAAGTTAACATAAAAAAATTGAAATAAGAAAAGAAAAAAAAAAATGTCCCAATGAAGACGTTCCATTTGAACGTATCTTTCATTCTCATTGCAGACACATAAGTATTTCTACACACAAGTATAGTACCGGGGGGAGAAAAGAAGCCTTAGAATCTATACGAATGGCTTGAAGTCACGAAACTTTCTTGGAATTAGATTTTATACTCCTGAGAGAGCGAGAACCTAAGACATTCTGATTTTATTTTTGCCAAGAGTTTTCTTTACTGATATCATGAAGCATCTTTACTTAAGTTTTAAAAGATTCCGTTTCACTTTTCACATGAAAAACATTTAAATTTAATTGTAACTCTTCTCAGCTCACTGACTGAAACTCTCTCACTCTCTTCTCCTCCTTCTCTTTCTCTCTCTTACTCTCTTTTCATCTTCTCTTCTCAATTCAAAGTTATTATTTCTGGAATTTTTTTTTTCTTTTTAATAAGTCTGTATGTTTTTTTTAAACTATAAAAGTTTTTATAGCATTTTTTATAGAAATTTTTTTAGATTTTATAAAAATTAGTATAATAATAAAACTAAAAAAAAATAAAACTAAAAAAAGTAATAAAAATTATAAAAATAATAATAATAACAATTATTATTATTATATTTATACTTTAGTTATCGATAAAAATATAGTAGGAACTAAAATATAAGAAATAATATATTGTTAATTTAAAAGTAATAGAAATAAAATTATACAAATATTTTTTTAAAAGATTTTTACTTTACATTTTATTATGTAATTCTTGTAATTAGTAGATAATGACCGTTTTGAAGAGAGAAAACTTATTTAATACGGTAAAATATTTTTTTAAAAGTTAAAATGAAGGAATCAGTGGTAATGGGAAATTTTAGTCAGACAAGAACTTTTTAAATAGCCATTAACTTAGTTTCAGTAGTAAAAGTTCGTTTTGAGTCAGACAAATACGTTCCGAAGGATACTTAACTTTTTTTGGTATTAGTAGTAAAGGAAAAGCACTGTCAGACATAGAGTTTGCAATTCTGAGCAGTAAAAATATTTTTTTAATTACCTTATAAAAATTAGTTTGTTTGGAAAATTTATTAGTCAAAATTGCTTTCAGTCGGACTAAGTAGTCTGACATTCCAAAAGTCGCAAATTTTTTTTAGTAGTAAAAGAACGTTTTTTGCACAGACAAAACATTTTATTCGTTAAATTTGCCAGTAGAAAAAAAATTTAATCAGACAAAGACAAATTTTTTTTTATATTTGTTAAATGTTTGTTTATAATTTTATGTTTTGATAACAACTTTTTTAATTTTGTATGTGAGAGAAAATTAATTTTTAGAAACAAGAATATTGTTTTAATTATATATTTTAATTTTTGTTTCAGGTGAGTGACACTTGTTAACTATTATATTGATGAAGGTGGAAATATTCAATAAGGGTGAGTTTAGTTTATTTTAGTGAAAAGAATTTTATATAGATATTTTTTTTATCATAGTCGTTACATCGTGTAAATATTTTCTTCCAATTTACAATTTTTTTAATTCTTTTTTTAAATTAAATTAAATTTTTTTTTTAGTCAGTAGTAGAATCAAATTTTAGTCGGACAAACAAATTTTAGTAATCAAAAAGTTTAATTAACTAAAAAAGGCAGTTTAAATGGAGCGCAAAATATTTCTGTTAATTATTTTTTTTGTCTATACGAAAGAGTATTTTTTTCAAATATTGAAATATAAACTAAAAGGAGAAAAAAATTCAAAAAATACACGAATAGTTTGAACAATGGACTTTCATATTTCAAAAAAAAATTCGTTTCAACGTTGAAGAAAAAAGAAAAAAAACTTGGTTTCTGTAAACGTAATGTTAACTTAATTTTCTCCTGCTTTCATAAGCTGCGTGCCCCGACACACTTTCGGTTGAGATAACTCAACTTGCAATGCTTTAAAAAGCCAATTTTCACCGAAGAGTTTTAAAAGAAATGAGATTGATTGTCTTCTGACACGAGAGGCCGTGGAAAAAAAAAGAATAAACCCAAATAAGCTTATTGTTGAGCGCATTTTAATTTAATGTCCAAACGATGATATAGTCCTGTGTCATTCATGTCCCTCTCGACGTCCGGTGTCTCTATTAATGCGAATTAACCTAATATATTGACCCTCTTTTTCAGTGTCAATGGTCTTTTAAATTTAGCTCCCAATTTATTGCATTTTTCTCTGTCTCTTTTTTTTCTCCTCTCATTTCTCCTGTAAATTGCCATTTTTTTAAGTTTCTACTTTTCTTCATTGGAACAATTTTTAAAATATTTTTTTTTGTAACTGGAAATAATTTCTTTAACTGAAAAATTTTTTCTTTGGTATTTTTTGGATTAAAGAAACTTCACAGTCAAAGTAGCACTGTTTTAATATTACAATATGCCGAATACTGGCATTACATTTTACTTATCAGCCCGTGAATAAGCCGAAAAAATTGAAATTAACACTTTTTGATTATTATTAAATAAAATTAACAAAAGAAAAGCCAAAAAATTAAGTAATTATTAGAAAGAATAAAAAGATAAATAAATAAATATGAAAATAAATTAAAAAAAACGAATAAAAGTAAATAAAAATAAAAAAAACCATAAAGATGCGCTGTGTCCGTATATGGGAAACTAATTTAGAATTACAAAGCCTCCTCTAATCCCATGGAGTTACGAGACCACCACCATCAGTCGTCATTTATCTGTTGATAATAATGATAGAGCGCCTGTTCATAATTCAGGTCAACGCGTAAATCATTTGATCGTTACAGGAAAATTACCGACATTCAGGTACTGTTAATCACATACTCACATAGATGTAGAATAATTAGATCCATTTAGTAAATTGCCGAGTGTTAAATAAACACCTTGTTGTATGTAAACAAACGAAAATCCATTTTCACAAAAAAAAATGTTTAACATGATAATGAGATTTTTCTCACACTTATTGCGTGAGGAAACAAGTATAAAAAAATTATGACTCACATGAGAAATTTTATCAAAATAGGGGAAAATAAATCCACTATCTATTTTACTTAAAACTATAAATTAAATTTTTCATAACTATAAAACATGAATATATCGATAACTCCGAGTCTTCGACTCGGAGTCATCGATTTCTTCATGTTTTATAATAATTAAAAATGACCGAGAGATAAAATCATTATCAATTCAATTATTATTTTCAAGAATTTTTAAATAATCGATTATTTTTAATAATTTTCGAAAAAGGTCTTTGACAGTTTTCAAATCCAATCCATTTGTTTACAATATTCAATTTTACCAAAATTTCAATTATTCGTAAATTCTGCAATTAAATATATATTAGAAAACAAAAACTTAAAATAATATAAAAAAAATTCAATTTAACTTTTTCAAAAAAATTAATTTTAATATCCAATTATTTCTAAGAATTCACGCTATATTGCTTTCAATATTCAATTATAATCTAAAATTTTATCTCAAATCCATTTTAAAATCAAGTTTAATTAGAAAATTCTACTAGAATTCAATTATTTAAATACAAAAAAAAAATTATTGAATAATTGCATGTTTTTTAAAATTGCATTCCCATTAAGAATTTTATCAACAAATTTTTAAGTAATTAAATTCTTTCGACGAATTTCAATAAAATTTTTAAGAATAATTACATTTTTCGAGAAATTCGATTAAAAATTTAAAATTGTACCAAAAATAATTAAAATTTTTTTAAACTAAAATTCTATAAATGCATTATTTTTAATAATTTTTGAAAAAGTTCTTTGGGAATTTTCAAAATCCTTTTTGTTCAATTCGATTTTACAAAATTTCAATTGTTCATAAATTCTTTAATTAAATATATATTAGAAAATAAAACTTCAAATAATTTTAAAAGAAATTGTTAATTAAACTTTCTCAACAAATTAATTCCACAGAATTGTTAGTTAAAAATGACAAATTCAGATTTTCGAAAATTTTAATTTGAAACCTTTTCAAAATTCAATTATTTCTAAAAATTCACGCTCTAATGCTTTTAATATTCAATTGTAATCTAAAATTTTTACTAAATTCCAATTTAAAATCAATGTTTATTAGAAAATTCTACTAGAATTAAATTATTTAAATATAAAAAAAAATATTTTGAATAATTGAATTCTCATAAAGAGTTTTATCAATAAATTTTTAAATAATTGAATTATTTTGACAAATTTTAATAAAAAAAAGAAAAATTTTTAAGAATAATTACACTCTTCGAGAAATTCCATTAAAATTGCATTAAAAATAATTGAAATTCAGCATTCAGTTCTATTATTTATGAAAATTATTGAATTCCTAAAAAGAGTTTTATTTATAAAAATAATTGAATCCCTGTAAAAATTTTATAATCGATGAAAATAATTGAATGATTGCGAAAAAATTTATAAAATATTTGTAAACACAGAAAAAAATATGTGTTAAATGTGTTGCGTGTAGTTTTCAGATGGTGTTGTTTTAACATAATTTTGGTGTTATTTTAACCCCATTTACCCTCTAGTGTTAATTTAACACACTCTATTGTTATTTTAACACCAGTGTAGTGTTAAAATCACACAGTGTCGGTTAAAAATGTTACGTGTAGTTTTAACACTACTTTTAGTGTTAAAATAACACTTCTTTTTTCCTGCGAATAATTGAAATTCTGTGAAATTTTTATTATTTTATGAAAATAATTAAAGGTTTGAGTAGAATTTTATTAAATTTTTTATAAATAATTGAATTATTTTGGAAAATTTTATTAAAATAGTAGATATTAAAAATCATTGAATTAAAGAAAATTTTTGAAAATAATTGAAATTTTGCCAAGAATTTTATTAAAGTTTTTGGAAATAATAGAATTTCGAAGAAGAATTTAATTATTTCAAAAGATAATTGAAATTTTAACGAGAATTTTTAAAAATTTTTGAACATTATTTAAATTTTTGCGAAGAATTTTATTACTTTTGAAAATAATTGAATGTCTGCAATCATTTGTAATTTGTCTAAAATTCTCCAAATTATATCGTACAATTTACAAACTTTTCTTCTTCTCTCAATCAAATTACGGACTTTATGGACCTTTGTCCGTAATATTTTGAGACAAATATTAATATTCGCAATCTTGGGTCAATATTGGGTCAGTATTGTCGATAAGATTATTGTTATTATTATTCCTAGCAATTATTATCATTACCATTTAAGTAATTAGTAAATTTTATTTTATTCATACTGAAAAATAGTTTTATTATTCGCAAGCTTGGGTCTGTATTTTTTTGTCCAAGATTGAAATTCTTTTGATTTTGTGTTATACGAGTGAGCTATTTTCTCATCCGCGGAAAAATTTCTCTCTCTTTTGCAGTTCCAGGGCGATTTTCTAACTTAGCGATCTCTCGTGAAACTGGTCCAGTTGCTCTTCGTTTCCATACTCGAACGGGAACGATTCCCCAGAGAGGTGAGATCGTTCCCACCTCATTCACCATTTTCCTGATGTCTGAGAGACGTATTTACATACGCCATTCCTCTGTGTCATCACCATCGAGCTATTTCAAGATTCAACCCCGTGACTATCGGAATTCAAAAGAAACGCTTTACTTTTCTTCTTCTTCTTCTTCTTCTTCTTCTTCTTCTTCTTCCTCCTCCTCTTCTTTTTCCATGTATAAAGAATATTCGATGAATACTCAACTTCTTTCTGCTTCTTCCTCTTTTTCTTTTTGAAAAGAAAGTTTTTACGTTTAACGTAGATTTTGATTTTTGATCAAAAACTAATTTCGTCGTGCGACTATTTTAAAGTCCAAAGGAAGAAATAATTTAATTTTATTGTTTATTTAAAACTTACAAAATTATAATTTATTTAATTATTTGATATTTAATAATAAATAACAAATAAGCAAGCGTATAAACTAAGAAAATATAATTAATAAACAACTAAATAGTACCAATAATAAATTATTTCAGTAAACAACTTATTTAAACAATCTATTTTCTTGCAAGTAGGAAATTAATACCAATGTGGATCAAATTGATAAAAAAAATTTGAATCAATTTATGATTTAATCTACATTTTTGGTATCAATTCGTTTTTTCCAACTTGATACTTTAAGTTAATACAAGTGTTTATTTAATTTATTTCGTAAATATTTTATTATTTAAATAAATTTATTATTTAAATAAATTTATTATTTAAATTTTCTTACTAAGTACCTATTTACTATTTTTTTAAAAATTCATTTTTCGTTTCAAAAAGAAATTAAAGCTACATAATGTAAAATATAAAGAGCAACTTTTATATAATATTATTGCCATATTTCAAAATACAGAGTGTCAGAAAAGTTTTTAAATTAAATTTCTCGTTGATTGCAGCAACACTCGAAAGTAATTTTCATTTGCCAAAATAGTTTCATTAGAAATTTATTTAATTAACAATCAAC